GGGCGCTTCCATGAGCATTTTAGTTGATTGCTAGGTACGTGAATTCATTGCTTTGTTGATTGTGTGGTTGCATGACAGATGAATTGGAACAAAAGGCAGGCAAGGCACAACAACCGATTTGAAGGAAGGAGAAAAGACAGTGATATTGAAAATGGTTCTTTTCCTCTCAACGTTAACATGAAGCATTTTGCAGATACAAGGCATTCATCTGGAGACTCATCCCATCAAGTTTTACCTCTTCCAGGCATCCAGCAGCATAAACAAATGATAGGATCCAATTCCTTAAATTACATGCAGACACGTATTCCATTGATACACATCAACTACAGTCATTCTTCAGATCAAATTTCTACCTGTCCAACTCAATCTAGTATTATATCTGAAAACAATGGCTACCCATCTCCTTCTCCGAAGGAGTCTTCCCATGCATCAAATCATGTATGCTCCATTGAGAGCGCTAATGGTCCTGACTTTGAGGCTCCTGCTATAACAACAAATGAGAATGAGGAAAATCTGTATCATTGCGGGGAACCATCATCTGGTCGGAATCTCAAACCTGCAAACATGGTAGGTCCAGCAGAATTTTATGGTCCAGTTTCAGCTAAGAAGGTAGCCCATCAGTCTGAATATGATATCAAAGGAGTTGGCACAGGGATTCCAGCAGAACTAGACTCTTCAAATGCACAGGAGAGCTCTTGCATGAGTTCTGTGTTGGATGGAATTTCACTAGAAGCAACTAGTTTTCGCCAACTTCAACAAGTCATTGAACAGGTGTGGTGGTTTGTAAACTTTGGTCATTTGCATTATATGATTGATATAATAAAAACTGAATCTTCATAGCATTAGAAGAACCTATGTGTGTATGTGCATTTTTCTGTGAGTGCTTTGAATGATTTCGCTTGATTGTGTTTAAAATATTATGAAATATGAAAACTTGGTTCACAAAATGCAGCATAACCTTGCAATTTTAAAATAGCAGCATAAATTATTAATGTCAACCTTCGACATGCTCTCTCTCCTATCAGTCCATGGTGTAAATCGGTTTCATTCAAAGCCCCCAAAGGTTTATAATTAGAGTGAAAAAAGGGTAGTGATTGTGCAACAACTATTATATAGTGACAAAATACCAATAAAAAGCATTGCATAGTCTTCAGCTATTATGTAGGGCTATACAGGAAGCAACAGGAAAATGCTGACCGACCTTTAGATACTATAAGAGATGGTCAGTAACATACTTCTTTTAATGATATGGAATTTTCTAGTTTGTGCTATTATTATGTTCAAATTATGATTGTTGTTTATATATTTGCAAATGTGTATGCACAAATGGGATCTTAGCATTTGACATGATAAAAAAAGGCTTCTAGATATTTCTCTTGATGATGATCATTCTCTGCACATAAAAACTCTGCACGAGCAGTATCCTGCCATTATTATTATTATTATTATTATAAAGTCAATATTATGGGATTTAGTGATCTGAACCTGCCTGAATTCAGTTGGATATTAGGACAAAACTATGTATAAGGGACAGCCTGTATCGCTTAGCTAGAAGCGCCGAGCAAAGGCATAATCATAGGAATGGAAGTGGTGGCAAGAGAGATGGTGGAGACAGAAGTGGGGCATTGATGGCTGAAGAAGCTGACAAGTATGGTCACGCCTTTCTCTCTTTTATTTTCTTCATTGTTTACTTTATTTATTTTTCTTATTTGTGCAACACTTCTTAATTTAAGATGCATGTTATTGTTTATTGATTGTAGTTATTCTTGTTATGAGTAATCACAATCTGTGTGTGAGGGTGTGTTTTCGCAGGGGGGCATGTGTGCTTTAGCTGGTTACTAACTAGTTAGAATTGCCTAGCTTAGATTCTATGTAATTTTCATGCCTTTCATTCATTCTTTGAAGTGGAAATAACCTATGTTATCATGTCATATTTGTTGATATAACATGGGTTAAGCATTGGTGAAGCAACTAATATTTGTTTCATGATAAGGTCGCTAGGGGTTTTTTTAAAGTTCTTTAAATGATACCATAGTTTATCCCAAACCCCTTTGCATAGTACTTTCTTAAACATTGGTCTAGTGGGCGAAAGTTCTATTGTGCTCCTTCATGTGGCAAGAATTTGACTCTGGCGGTTAAGCTCAACATTAAGCTTGAGTCTTTTTTCTTTCCCCAACAAGAAGTGAAAGTAACCAACAAGTAGGCCCCACATAGAGGGCATGGGTGACATGCATGCTTTAGCTGGTTTGAATATGAATTACATAATTTTCATGCCTTTCATTCATTCTTTGAAGTGGAAATAACCAATGTTATCATGTCATGTTCCTTAATATAACTTGGGTTAAACATTGGTGAAGTAATTAATATTTGTTTCATCATAAGTTTGGGATTATTTTAGAGTTCTTTAAACAATGCCATAGTTTATCCCAAACTCTCTTGTTTGGTACTTTCTCAGACATTGGTTCAGTGGGCTAAAGTTTCTCTGTGCTACTTCATGTGGCAAGAATTTGACTTGGGCAGTTGAGCTCAACATTAAGCTTGATATTGCATCTCTATGTGGGGTTTACTTTTTGGTTACTTTCACTTGTTGAAAAAAAAAACTCTTTTTCTCATCTCCTTTTATGTCCAATTTGATTGATATGCTATTTAGGCCAGACACTTATTCAAGGTTAATTTATATCCAAGAACTTCAAGCTTGTCTTGGTTTGTATTTACTGATCTCTTAAACCTGCTTATTTTTAAAAGGGGAGCGATGCAGCAGAGAGTGATTTATTTAGATATCCTAGATTGACGTGATTTGTTTAGTATATGTTTTTTTTCTTTGTCTGTGTGATCACATGTTTGCTTATGTTTGTGTGTAACTTCTATTATGATTATGGGTTGTTAGGCAATCATCTATTTTGTTGCGTCTCCTGTTTAAAGGTGATTATATAATATCTGTGAATGTAGGTCTATAGACTCAGCTATGTAAAATCATTTACGTTTATGTCATTTCTTGTTTTTTACTTTTCTTTCCTTGTTAGAACTCATATCTTCTGATCCATTTATTGTGTCCAAAAATGGCAGCTAATGACCTAGCACGTTGAAATTTAATTTAATAAACTCTGTAAAGAAGTTACCCTAATATATATGCTGTATTTGAAAGACAAGTCAATTACAATTAAGTGTTTAACAACTAGTGATTGGTGAGGAATAGTCTTAAAGGAAAATGATATGATGATCGATGGGATGTCGGTGAGTCCATTGTGGTGAAATGTGATTAATGCCATCCCTCCTCGGTGGTTCCAAACATTGATATTTTAGTCCCATAAGGAATATCTCATGTTGTAAATGCTGACAACAATGAGATAGAGGGTTTATTTGAAAGATTTAGCTAATTGAGATTTGAGCTTTATTGCAAGCAATATAAAAGAGATTGCTATAAACTATTAAGCAAGCATTTCATGGCACTCTTATGAGGTTGGAATTGGGTGTCGACCTAGGTAATTATGTACAAAGGCTAGAGAATTGATACTTTGAGTGAATGTTGTTTGAAGAGAGTTATTCACTTGTATAGGAGGGTGTTGTTTTACTAAGAACTATTATGGTTCAACTAGATAAACAAGTTGAAGAGAATGACATAACTGAGTAGATTATCCCTCAGATACATTTTTTTAATCTCAAATATCAATGTTGTTTCCTTTTGTTTTCTGGATTTGAGTAATTATTATGAAATTATTACTCTGCTAGTGTTTGAAGGGATCCTTTGGGTGTGTTGGGTTTTAGCTAAGGTATACATTGATTTAGATTTCAAATTCCAATAGTGTGCCTCTTTTCTGGATTTGAGTAATTATTATGAAATTATTACTCTGCTAGTGTTTGAAGGGATCCTTTGGGTGTGTTGGGTTTTAGCTAAGGTATACATTGATTTAGATTTCAAATTCCAATAGTGTGCCTCAAGTATTAGATTTGGAAGGAGTTTTATAAAGGCATCCTTTAGAGAATGAGGGTGATGGTAGGCATCTAAAGAATTCTGTATTTCTGAGGGTTAATGCCAGGACAAGAAGACGGAGGAGTTGCGGTGTGCAGCCAAGTTGCACCACCAACTATTGACAAAATGATGTAACTTGTGTTGCCACTATTAGTGTCACAAATCATGTCATTATTTGATTCCTAAACAATTGGTATCAGAGCATGTAGTTTAAAGTGGTGTTTGATTTTGCTAAAAAATAAAAATTGTCAAAATTGTGTTTTGACCATACTATTGTGTAGAGGAACAAGAGGTGAAACCACTAGTGAAAATTGCTTCGAAATCGGACATCAGACATGGTTGCATGCTCTTTCACGTGCCGGCGAGGTGGCTGGCCACGCGCGTAGATGCGCGCCACGTGTCTTCTTCGCCCAGATAGGCTAACCCAACCCGAATATCAAATAACCTGACCCAAGTGCTTGATTCGGGTAGGGATGACGTCATCATGTACAAGTGGCATGCCATGTCAGCGACCAGTCTACAGCCACGTCATCACAACAGGACCCACCTGCCACGTCATCAGTCGCAAGCCAATAGAGTTGGAGCCAAGCCGTGAGTTGAGGGAAAGGATTCAGTGTAGCTGATCCTACGTGCAACCGGATCTGAGATTGAATCTGAGCCGTCTGAAGTGTGATTTGGATGATTTCAGACTTGTTTCCAGTTAATTTGATCGTTCTGGATGCAATAGTACGGTCTGATCGTTGAGATTGAGATAAAAAATGGCGGTGGTGAATTAACAAAAAGAGATTGCCCGATCAGGAGGCATCTGAAGGTCATCATGGTGGTCGATAGAGATGAAGAAGAAGAAATCGCACATGTTTGCCCAATTACATGTAAACGATCATGCAAACGATTTGATGAGGAGAGTAAAAATTGATAAAGATCAATTTTGACGAATCTAAGTACTAGTAGTCTCACCAGATACTGAGAGATCATATATAAAACCAGGAAACCTCAGATCTTGTAAAGGAAAGCTGCAACAAAGCTAGCAGATGGTTGTATATACGGAAAGACAGTACGATGGATAGATATGATCTAAGAAGTTCTGGTTAGGAGATTGGGTTTTAAGTGAGAATAGTGTGACCCCACCAATCTTTCTTGAGAACTTGTTTAGTTGAAGGATTATCCATACGGTACTATTTTTGTATATATGACTGTTATGAAACTGTTGAAAACTAGTAAGATGACGGCACAAAAGAACAATTGGGTTTCGTATGATCAAGGATCTAATGGAGTGGTGATTTCTCTAAAGAAGTTAGATTCGGTGACTATGATTTCTCGTAGGGTAGAATTGATGAAGACCCTGATAATAGAAGAGAAATATAGCAAGGGGATAAAGATTGACACCCTATTTTGACTTGGATAGGTGTTTTGACAGGATGAGCTGTTGTCAAACATAAATAAGGAAAATGGAGAAATCTGGAGAACAACAATTGCACGAGGGCATACGAAGATTGTGCAGGAGTACCTGTAGGATCCAACGAGGTACTATAATGAAACAACAGGGGCAAGGAGAAGAAGAATTCCTAGATGAAGCTCAAAGTAGAGACTGTGTAGAAGTTGTACAACAGGAAGTCTCTTGTGCTCTTGATGAAGGCAATAGGCGAGGACCTTTCTAATGCATGCAAGGATGAAAAGATGAGCTGTTGCAGAGGCACCTAATTGAGGGGGTGCAAATGCCTGTGATAAAAGGCGATCGCTTATGATGAAAGGCGAAGACACCAAGAAAAAGTTGGTCTAGGTGGAGCTGTCAAGCAGAAAAACATAAAAGCTTCAAACATAGAAAATGAGATGGAAGATTGCGAAGAGTGCATTGCAACTCTCTTTTTCTATGTGATCAGTGATAGTAATTTCTCCCAAGTCTACATGGTGATAGAGAATCTTGAAGCCACTTTGAAGCGTCCCAGTTGAAGGAGGATGCGACTGATTATGAAAGGCGAAGACACTTTAGAAAAAGGTGTAATGGCCATGAGATGAGCTCAAGATCAGACCGCCATATGATAATGAGCGGAGACACCTGAGGAGAACGTATGAGGGCCATGATAGAAGCCCCGATTCAGAACGCCCTTGAGCCAATATAATGGCTGAATATGAGTGGACAGGTGTCTGAATAGCCAATGTAGTGGCTATGGAGTATGGAGGCAAATGCAAGATTGACTTTTATGGATATTGCCCTCATGCTAAAGATCAATGAGCTAAAAGATATTTTTCTTGGACAATAAGTGGATGACTTATGGAGCATTAAGACGCGACTGCTAGGAATGAGCAGATGGCATGCGCGGGTTCCTGGAACAAGTGGACTCTTGTTAAGGTGGTGAGCTCGGTAATGACATTGTAATACTCAGAGTATGAAGACAGATATGGATCAACCTTTAATAGGTTGTCTCCATGGTTAAAGGCAGAGAGCTACCTTGACTCTTGAGACTAAGAGTGGGAGACTCACGGAGAAGTAAGCCGTGATTTTTGAACAGACACAACTCTTGAATGAGTAGACTCTTGAAAGAGTGGTGAGCTTGTGATCATATTGAGATACTCAGATAATAACTGTCGCACTTTGAAAGAAAAATTTTCTTTTGAGGGGGTGTTGTAAGCCTTGATGTGAGACTTGAAAAATCATTTCGAACCAAGCTTGGTTGATACGCTTGAAGAGGAATGTTTTCTTCTAGAGACAAGCATTAACACTCTTTAGATATGATGTGGGAGACTATCTGGTTGAAGTGACCCCTTGGTATGAGCAAGGGTGTGTTTTGGTGACTGAAAGGTTTGGTGATTATCTGTAAACTGGGTCATGGATACTCTTGGAATGGTAAGCTTGGAAAAGCTACATGATGCAAGCATGTGCTGAAGAAGCAAGAGGACAACTGTCCACGTGAATGACAAAGGGAGTGATTGTCAGGATTGTTGCCATTAATATGCAACAATCATTTGCAGCCTACCCCAGGTAAGGTTGCCATTGTCAAAAACCTACAATGGTAGGTGTGTAGCAAAGTTGCACCAACCATTGATAAAATGATGCAACTCATATGCTGCCACTATTAGTGCCACAAATCATGCTATGATTTGTGGATCTTATCTTACCATTGATGTCTATAAATAGAGGTATTATTTGAGAGCAAAACAAGAGAGTGGTAAGTGTATGTAAGAAAATAAGAGAGAAAGAAGGGCTGCTAAGGGCAGCAGCTCTGCTGCCATTGTAGTAGTGCGTGTGAGCTGGGAGTTGAATTTGAGTGGGTGTAATCCTCCTCCTCCATGTATTTGTTTTGTATTCTTTCTCTATCTCTAATAATATTGACTCTCTCGTGAATGTAGGTGTGTTAGTGTACTTAGCCTTCTATGAGTAAATATTATACATCACTGGTATGGATTCACCAGCACACTTTTATAGCACCTTCCCCTGTTTGATCTCCAAAATCTCATTTGGCATGCAAGAGTAGGTCTTCTAGAGAATTAGGGAAAATCTCACATAACATGTTTATTCAATATTAGAGATTTTATAGTTGGCAATAAAGTAGGTTTTACTAACATTATTATGTTGAAAAGACTCATTCGTGTAGGTTCTACTAACATTATTATGTTGAAAAGACTCATTTGTTGAAAGGCACTAGCATCTTTTACCGTTCTCAATATATGAAGAGACTGGGTGATGCATGGGGATGAACATGCAATGAAAATGGTTGCTTTAGTTGCATTATGTTAGCCTAAAAAAATATTTTTGGGATGAGAGGGAGAATATTATCAGAAACCAAATCAATTTATTTGCTAATTAAATTTATGATTGTAATGGCGCACTGAAATGAGTTGTATTTAGTGAGTTTGATCTCAGATATCTTGCTTTGCCAGTTCAATGAGATACAATTAGGAAGGCTCCCATTGAAGGTATAGAAGAATATTAAAGTTTTGGAAGATTTTTTCAAAACTTTTGGAGAACAAAGGGGAAATATTACCTGAGTAATTTGCTAGTTTCACTTGTAAAAGACCTTTATGCTATTGGCTAGAGCTCAAATTCTTGCTCTTTTAGTGGTTATTATTTTTGTGTATTTTAATGGTTTTCCTCATCCAGGACCGGATTAATGGATATGGAAACTGATACCAATCCAATAGATCGATCAATAGCGCAGTTGCTGTTTCACAGGCCATCAGAACCATCTTTGATGCCTGCTATTGATTCCTTGTTTCTCAAGTCTCACACGGTGGTAAGTTTTCACATATGTACTTTACATTTAGTATTTCATTTTGTAATGCTATGTGAATTGTAACCTTACACTGGAAGTAAATCAACAGATTAATGGATCTATTAGCAGCTTGCCGGTGATGACCAAGGAACATTGCCAGGAGGAAACTGCCACTGGTTCGGATGGAAGTTTGTTGATGAGTAATGACAGACAGTAAGTTAGACTTAACATGAGTGCATTCATCGTAAAAGGTGTTCTATTTTCAAATCACCACAGTTCTTCATGTGTAATAACATTGGTTGAGGCACTGCCAGATATACTTCTTAAGGTTTGGTTCCTTGTTTTAGATCTGATAATTCCTCTGATGTATAATGTAATTTTTGTTTATGTTTGTCACTGTAGCAGTTATATTTGCTGAGATTGTTTTGTTTATTGGTTCCATCATATCACTAACCATCTGGTTCATGGAATCTATTTCAAATTCCTACATGATTGTATGAGTTTGTCTTCAACTTTTGAAATCTGTAGGCATTAGGGTAAATAATTGCTTTCAGAATGCACTGAGAAACTTAGAAAAGGATGGAAGAGGTCACCGCCTAGAGGCTTGGTTGGCATTCAAATATATATATATATGAATTCAGCATTCTAATGAGTAGGATTTGATGTTTGTTTGATATTAATATGCTTTTGAAAATGACAACTATTTTTAGGTTAAAGGAAAACGGTGTCATTTTATGAGGAGACTGCTTTATTTTTTAAAGAAATCAGCCAGGGTATTTTATGCTTTTA